TCTATAATTACAGACTGTAGTCCATCTGTTTCTCTGCACAGTTTTTTGGCCCTCTTTCACCCTGTTCTTCAGAGGTCAGGACCCTGACAGAACCACTACAGAGCGGTGTAATTTAGGTGATAGATCATTCTCAGCATTGCAGTGACATTGACGTGGTGGTAATGCGTTATCGTGTTGCGCTGGTCTGAGTGGATCAGGCACAGTTTTTAAACACCTCAGTGTCAGTGACTGAGATTAGTCCACCATCCAAAAATATCCAGCCAACAGCATCCTGTGACCACTGATGAAGGACTAGAAGATGACTAAAGCAAACCGATGATCTGCTGTCTCTGACTTTACATTTACGAGGTTGACTGACAAGCTATGTGTGTGTAATAGAGTGGACAGTGAGTGGACACAGTATTTAAAACTCCAGCAGCACTGCTGTGTCTGATTCACTCGTACCAGCACAACATACACTAACATGCCGCCAGCACATTAGTGTCACTGCAGTGCTGAGAATGATCCACCACCCAAATAATACCTGCTCTGTGGTGGTCCTGTGGGGGTCCTGACCACTGAAGAACAGTGTAAAAAGGGCTAACAAAGTATGCAGAGAAACAGATGGACTACAGGCTCTGGTTCACCTATATGGTAAATGAAGCTGATAAAAAGAAAATAGAGTGTAGATACAAGGTAGGTGCACTTAACAAAGTGGCTGTTTGGTGTAAAGTCTTCTACACTGAAGTTACAGCCAATGTCAATTGCAGTTTTATAACCACAGAAGATGGAAAGACCTTCATTAAGACATTATCATGCATTTTTTTGTTTCTCCTTTTCAGAAGGTAGTGTTTGAGGTTTTTTGTGTCTGTGTGTTTGTTTGTGTAGGTGGCTGTTTGTCTGTCTGTCTGCCAGTGGTGACTGAGCTGAAATGAATGTGTATGATTTAATTAAATGTAATCAAATGTTCAGATTTTTAGGAGGTTGTTTTTCGTTGCTGTCCAAAGAAAAACAAGTATCTCAAAAAGCAGCTTGACAAGAGATGGCAAAAAACATTAACGTTTAATGCAAGTTAATGTACTGAGATTTTATTCCAAGCAGTTTTGGGAATTTCTATTGGTCCATGTGAAAGGCAGCTGCTGCAATCAAAGAATGTAAAAAATAAAAAAATAATAAAAAAAACGGAGATACTTGTCTTTATTTTTTTTGACAGCAATGAATTTAAGGCCATACATGTTTATATCATTAAAGTCAACATGAATTGGAAGTCATAGTGCATTTTCCTTCCACACTTTGACATATTTCCAAGTGAAACACGGCATGAGGGAGGGTCTGTCAGCTAGATTACCACTTCGATCAGTGACATGTTTGATTCGCTCCTCATTATCCTTATTTAAATCTCTGTTGAGAACACATTTGTTTTCACTGTGCTTTCAGTGTTCCTTTTGTCTTTGAATGTAAGGTCTACTAGTGCCTGACATGTTCATGCTCTATGATTGTAAAGACTACTTGAGCATGGGAAAGGAGCAATTTAAATAAAAGTGATGACAACAACAGGTGGTGGAGGTGGTGGTAAAGGGAGGTTAAACATGATATATTGGTTATTATTACTTTTCCCCGCCCACTGTTTCATGGTGATATAATGAAAACTCAAAAGATGTTTTCAAAGGAAGTAAAAGTCACTACAGTTTATTCAAAGATTATGAGTAAACAAAAGTTATGTCTTTTAATGGTTTGGTATGATAAATCATGCTTAATATGACCAGGGACAAGAACTAACCAGATAAAAATGTCAGTTTTGATATCAAGTTGGGTTAGACATCACCTATACTAATGTCACCACCAATGCAGCCAGTGTCACTAGTTTTTTAACCAAAAAAGATGCAAATGTTTGTATTATGACATGCAGTGTCTTCTATCTCACAAGGCATCTTCACATAAAGTAAATGAATGATCACAGGGTTGGCAACTGCATTTTAAAATCTCATATCACACAGAGAGAAAGCCACTGTGATTTTAGGACCCCAGTGTCTAACATGATACCTGATAGCATCAGAAAGCTGCAGACGCTGTTTGTGGCTGTGGGCGCACTAGCATATTCTTTATGCTTATGTTCGCTCCCCGCTGGTGCTTTCATGATTAGCAGCAGAGGATGGAGGCATTTAGATGAAGCCTTGGTGAGGCTTGATTATCAACCAGCAGAACGATAAATCTGCAGTCAGTGATATCAGCATGCGCAGGCAGAGAGATTACAGAGGTTGGGCAATATTACTTTGGCAGTTTTTTTTTCTTCCCAAACAGTCGTTTTGGATATTGTGGGCCTGGCAGTTAATAAAGTACGCAACTGCAATTAGTCTATTTAATCTTACAGCAGGATTAAATAGTGCTTTCCCATGGCTTTATGGCGGGCTATGTCAGGGAGTTAGGTCTATACATGTGCTTGGTGGGGGCGGGTGCTGCGTTTATTAATTCACTCGCTTGTCAGTTTATCTCTCGTGTGAATTAGGCTGTACTTTGGTTTGAAAAGCTTTGGGGACATTTCTCAAAAGGATGGAAGAAGAACACTGTTCCCATGCACTGCTGTGCTGATACATGGACCACACATGCAGAGAATAAAGACACACTAGGACTCTGTAAGCTTCAGGCGTTCTGTAGCCTTTGCCTTTTGAAAAGTCTAGTTTTCAAAAGGTAAAGTCTAAAGGTTCAAAGGTTTCTGGAGTTCAGCCCTGACCCAGCATACCTTGTATTCAAACTTCTGTGTTCTACTTGCTGCACCAACGTCATCCAATCGAACTGCCATCATCTGATAAAGTAAACACTACTTAGGCTATACTTTACTGTGCAGACCTTTCTCCATTGTGTATGATTATTACATAAAAGAAGGAAGTGCTGTTGCTATGCATTACTGTGCTCAGAGCTGGACGGACTACTTTGAAAAAGTAGGGATGGCTGAATATATAATATAATAATATGAATGTATTCATATTCCAGTATTTCCTCTAGGATTTTTTTCAGCAGCAATGGCAGGCCCACACTCCAACCCCCCACAATGTTTAGATAGATCAGATGTAGTTTTTTGTTATGCAGTCAAGTTTGTTGTATAGTGGCAAATTCGTTGTCATTTCCAATCCGCCTAGTTTTATTTGGCTACAACTACACAATCTCTGTAATGCATTTTAAGCCATTTTCACACCTATCAGACCACTATGTGATAGCTTTCTGTGCATATGTGAACATAGCAAATGATTTCAGGTGAATTCAGCACACCAACAGATTAACCAAACTTCTGAGGTGGTCTTAATAAGTTGTGGTTTATTTTGTGGTCCAATTGATTTATGTATTGTGAAAAGAAAAATGGCCCGGGTTTGCTTTGTATTTTGCTCTATGAGGCTTACTATATGTACACAGCTACAGTCTTCCAGCATTTTGCGGTTAAAAACGGACTAATCAGGAAAATCTCACAAAGAAACAGCTGCACTGGCTTAATAAAGGAATAAGCCATGAGAGTCCATGTGTTACAGTGATTTTACTACAGCTTGAAACTTGGTTCAGCCAATCATAGCCATAGTTTTCCAAAAGCATCAGCGTAAGATCATCTTAACTATTAGAAAGGGCATTCAGTTTGATACTCGCTCTACCATTTAGGAATCATATTTGTGCTGAGATGCTAAGATTTACTTGAACAACACTGGGATCTGAGTAAGTGGTCTGAAATCTCATTAGTACTGAACAGGACCAGAAAGAGAAGTGAGTCCTCTTTAAAGTTGACTTACATTGTGAACACAATAAAAACTGAGGTCAGTTGCAACAGGTTGCCTTTTAGTTTCACTTTTAACATAAGTGATACACATGTACATGTTGGTACATGTTGACCTCCAGAGCTTAGTTCTCTCTATAAACAGCACCTCTGTCCACTCTTTTCTGCTTTTTAGCTGCGCTGAGACACACTCTGAATTAGCATGGAGCTGGGAGTGATGTGGGAGGCAGGAGGGAAGCATTATTATGTAAAGCAGCTCATCTGCGCTGTCTGCGGTCATCTGGGCTCTTAACATCAGGCACTGGAACAGCAGGCATCTGTCATCCTCCCCCGCTGTGCCAGCCGGACGGCTAGCGCCCAGGAGAGAAAGAGAGAGAAAACGAAGTTTAAAAGGCAGTCGGTAGTCATTGACAGCCCCGCAGCTACAATGCTAATTCTGTGAACTAACGCTTTTTATCTTATTTTGTACGAACCTGCCCTTTTTAAAAAGCTGTGGTCATCACTTTTTTTTCTGTACTTTGTATGCTAACACAGACATCTATCCTGTAAAGGCCATGACACACTGACCCAGTGTTCCCCTACAAACATCAACATTCTAATGTTGGCCTTCTACTGTGCCAGATTAAGAATTGACAGGCCAACTGAACTAAATGTGAACACAGGAGAACATTTTAGAACAGTGTAAATGTGAGAAAATGTTCTTAAGACTCTTAACAATTGACCTAACCTTGCTCCACTCATAAATGTCTTCTGTTTAAAGATTGTGTTGCAAAGTTGTATGAGGGTTAGAATGTTGGCAGAATTCACAACTAAATCAGTATAGACATTGTAGTGCACTACAGTTTTAGTCAATTTGAATTTAGGATTATATTAATTAAAGTAATTGTTAGAATTTTTCTTTTTCTTTTGATATGTATATATTATATGTATATGTCACTGTTTTTGGTGGGAGGCAGGAGGGAAGCATTTGCATGTGGATTTGACATTAGGTTTAAATAATATATTTTATAATATAATTTTAATATGTCTTTGCATAGAGCATGTTTGTCAGTTTTTCACAAACAGTGTTTTTCAAATTAGTCCTGGAATTTTCTTCCAGTACACAGTTGCTATGAAAGAACGTATTTCTGGGCAGAGCATGGATGGGTCAGTTATAGAGATTTTTTTTTTAAAAGAGAATTTTGTGTCAGCGTGTCAAGGCTAAAAGTAAGTACCCAGCTATATCTACTGTAGGTTGATTTCACTTTTCATTTTCCCCACACAGCCACAGGGACCTGAAGCCTGAGAACCTGCTGCTAGATGAAAAGAACAACATTAGGATAGCAGACTTCGGCATGGCCTCTCTGCAGGTGGGGGACAGCCTCTTGGAGACCAGCTGTGGGTAAGTACAACTGACCGGTGCTCCATATAACAGAGCAGCAGTGGCTTTATCTTTATCCAAGTGAACATCAAAAGTCATTTATGGGTGTTCTTAGTGATTATGTGTATCCGGCATACACAAGAGCTTTATTAATACAATGTTTTGCTTATTAGTGAATCTATCAAAAGTCGTTTTTTCTTGTTAATGGCAGAAACATGTGCAATACGCATGCTTTATTATGGAGTGCATGCCTCTGCACATTCTCTCTCCCCTCTTCTCTTATTTCCTGCTCTCTCTCACATTCTCACACTCTCTCATGCTCTGAAATTGACAGAAAGCGAGCCGCCTCTCTCATTACTTGCTGTGAGCTGAGGGCCGCGGTTGGGTGGAGGCATTGCTGGCTCAGGAGCGGAAACGGACCTTTAAATGAAATTAGCTGTTATGAAAGCAGCATGGCCTCTCCTCCTCCCCATAGGTTTGCTCTAATGAGGTCAGCAGTGTATGAGGAGGGAGAGAGACAGCTGCTTTAGATCCTGCACACACACACACACACACACACACACACACACTAGCTCCTTCTCCCTCTCTCATCTCTTTCGTTTTTGAAGGGCTCTACAGAAGAAACGGTGGTTTTGGATCAGGGTTGGCACTCATGAATACCTCTGTGCATCTCTGTTTGAAAGCCAACACTACAACCACACTGCTCAATATAAGAAAGAGCTAGAAAGATTTGGATAGATATTGCTGCTGTCATAAGAAAACTAGGGCTGCATATAATGATTACTTCTATAATAAAAGGATCTATTGATTTTTTTTTTCCAATTAATCAACTAATCAAATGATTGTTTTTGTTTCAGTAGGAAATAAATTCAAGTGATGGCACAAAAACTCTTGAATTTTAAAATTCATCAAATTGCTTTTGTTTGTTACTGCTACACTTATTTCTCAGATGAAATTCTTGTACTGTGGCATGCCAGAATTTACAAATGTCCCATAGCAATAGTTGTCTGCTGAATCAATAGAATGACTGAATACAAGAAATAAGAGTTAAAAAAGAAAGCTTTCATTTTTTATTGAAGCATCCAACAGTCGATAAAAAGAAAAAAAAACTTTATATTACTTCTTCTATCATTTACCATCTATTTTTATTTTTATTTATACCTCTCCTGTTTCAGCACACGTTTCATTATTTACTTTCGTATGCAAGTTTGGGCACCCCTGGTCAAATGACATATTGTGTTAATTCCAGTGAAAATATAGTTAACACAGTAGCAGCTGCTTATTGGCTGAATTTAACATATTGAGCAAAAAGTAAAACATAAATATGGCCTGTGCAGAAGTATATTTTCTTTTTTTTGTTTGTTTTTGTTTATCTTAAATCTTAATCAATTATCAGCAAACATAATTTGACTGAGGGTGTTTTGCATATGACTGTATCTATTCCCTATTTTTGTGTCTGTTTATATGATTCTGAGTGGCGTCTATCTTAGTGCACAGACATTGGCAAGTTTTCTATATTAAAATTACTATGTTTATGGCTTGCATGCACAACTAGCATGTTCGTGATTTTTACGACTGTATATTTTACAGATTTTAAGTCTTACCACTCACTTCATCCCTAAATCATCTTAAAACAGACTTATAATCACATCATTGTGCACTATTGTTATCCTCCCCATACAACAGAAATGTTCCTCTCTTCCGTTAAATGTTCTTTGTCCAACATGTAGCATAATTTTACCTTTAATAGGCTGATATTAGCTAGTTTGGCTAGCTTGTTAAAAGCACTTTCCTACTACCAGCGGTAGGAGAAAACGTGTTGGGACTTTGGTGCTTTCTCTTCATTTCGTTTGTGCATCATTGGTTTGAAATGCTACCTCCGCTTAGCTCGCTGTGACTTTGTGGGTTGTGCTTTCTTGAGTTTATCTCCCTTTGCTGTTACCATCGTTCAAAGTTCTGTCTGTGCCACAAACGATTTCTACTCATGATGCAACAAAATGACAGAAGCCATATTGCCCCATCTGTTTAGAGTGGAGTTTGGAGTTAATGCACATATGAGCATCATAGGGCACTTTTTTAAATTAAACAACATGAAGACAATAAAAAATCCACACCAACTTTTTTTTTAGAATGGGTATAAATCACAGCCCTAAAGAAAATCTCAGACTATTTTAATTTCTTATTAAATCTATTTTTAGAAAGCAAACTTTTTCAAATTGCTTTGTTTTTCTATTCCAATAAAGTCACTATTTTGGAGACATGAGATTTTCTTAGTGATATGCATTTATGATAAATTCTTGAGTGATATTCTCTAACTAAACTGACTGTTAAGAAGAAAAAGGGTAATGGACACTGGGTCTGTTTATAAACAGCAAAAATAAGGATGTAAACACTCATTGGGCCATACATTACTGTGGAAAGGTTTGGGGAATGCTTTCTATTGTTTTAAGATTAGAACTGATGCAATATAAGCACGGAGAATAAAGACACACAGGGACACTGTAAGCTCCAGGCGTTCTGCAGCCTTTACCTTTTGAAACGTCCAGAGGTTCAGAGGTTTCCTGAGTTCAGCCCTGACCTGGCGTACCTTTCATCCAAACCTGTGTGTTCTACTTGCTGCTCTAGCATCATCCAATCATTGTGTTGTGCCCCAGGTCCTCATAAGGCAGGGGCAAACAGGGCATGTGTGTCACACTGCAGCCCCTGGTACCATGACTCAGCAATGGAGATCAGAATGAATCAGCACTTGCATCATCAAACCTGAATGTACTTTTATGGTAAATTTATTGTTAAATTTATATTTTAGTCAAGTGAACTCAATCTAGAGCTGTTGAACCTGCTGACACGACACTGACTAATTAAGGTTAAGGACTATAAGGCTGATGTCATTAGATTAGTCATATGGAAGGCCTATGCTTTCTATTCAGTAAGATGCTAGCACTAATGACAAACATTCATGATATCAACAGGGAGATGCTAACGATAATGATAAAGCCTCAGTCATGACATCAACAGGGAGATACTAACGATAATGATAAAGCCTCAGTCATGACATCAACAGGGAGATGCTATTACTAATGATAAAGCCTCTTGACATCAACACAGAGGTGCTACCAAGAATGACAACCCTCATCACATCAGCGCAGAGATGGTAGTGCTAATGACAAACCCTTATCACAAGGACTGTCACAATCATGAAATACTAGCAGATTGTTCGTACACGTTAAAAATGTTAGCATTAGCTATCCAAAAAATTATTTAAAAAAAAACATGTTAGAGCACCAAGTTAGATGTTTCAGTGAGTCCCAGGATGTGTCTCAATTAATACCTGCTTTTATGTACATTTATTTGCCAAAACACCTACTTCATATTTCCTGGTTGTGTCGTAATCTAACAACTGCGAAAAATGGTGGCAGGCAGCTTAAAGAATTATGATCATCTAAATAGTTACAATCATGTCTAATTATTAAGACAGGCTGCTTATCAACACAAAGATTCTGGCACTAATGACAAATCCTCATCACATCAACATAGAAATGCTAGTGCTAATGACCAACCCTCTTGACATCAACACAGACACTAGCGTTAATGACATTAACACAGAGATTCTACCTCTAATGACAACTCGCATCACACCAACAAAGGTGCTAACACTAACAAACCCTGTCACATCAACACAAAGATGTTGACATTGACAAGGCCTCATCACATCAACACAGAGATGCTGGTACTCACTAGCCCTCATCACACTAGCTAGTGCTAATGATAAGCCCTCGTCACATCAGCACAGACATGGGAGCGCTAATAACAAACCCTCATTATATGAACACTGAGATGCTAGTGCTAATGACAAGCCTATCACATCAATGCAGAAATTGTAGTGCTAATGACAAACCCTCATCACATAGAGGGAGAGACTCGCACTATCACAGACCCTCATTACATCAACACAGAGATGCTAGTGCTAATGACAAACCCTCATCACATCAACTCTAGCACTATCACAAACTCTCAGTACATCAACACAAAGATGCTGGTACTGACTAGCCCTCATCGCACTTGCTAGTGCTAATAATAAGCCCTCACCACATCAGCACAGACATGGGAGTGCTAATAACAAACCTTCATAAGATGGTGGTGCTAATGACAAACCCTCATCACATAGAGAGAGAGACTCTCACAAATGCTCATTACATCAACACAGAGATGCTAGTGCCAATGACAAACCTCATCACATCAGCGCAGAAATGGTAGTGCTAATGACCAACTCTCATCACATCAACATAGAGATGGTTACACTAATGATAAACTCTCTTGACATCAACACAGAGATACTATCACTAATAAAAAAAAGCTTCATTACATCAACACAGATGCTAATGCTGGCAAATCCTCATCACATCAACATAGAGGTGTTAGTTCTAATGACAAACCCTCTTGACATCAACACAGGAGTGATGGCACTAACCTCACAACATCAACACAGAGGTGTTGGTGCTGACAAATCCTCATCACATCAACATAGAGCAGAAGACATCATCAGGGAGATGCTAACACTGATGACAAACCATGCATAGAGGCTGCTACTGTACGTTGAAGTCAAAAGGACTTATCTATAATTGGCCATTGATGGTCACATTTTTGGCCTGAGTCCTTTGTCTCAAGTTGGTAATCCAAGATGTGTCTGCATTTGACCCTCCTTTGACGCGTGTGAAGTAATCATCATGTCATTGCGTTATGGTTAATAAAGCACTGCTGGGGGGTTCTTGATAGACCTCACATGTTTAGAGAGAAGCAATGATGGAGCGACGATGACAGCTGTTAATTAACTACATTCATCTCTGACATCCGCACTACAGGTGGGTCTGAAAGCTAAGGTTTGCCGTAGGTGTTCTGCCTGCCCTTGAGATTGATTGACAGCACTTAGTTAATGGCTCCTTAGGGTACAGATGGGGAATTATCTTCTCAGTTTGTAACCGAGGCCTACCTTTAGGCCTCAAATATAGAGATGTCTTCTTTTCATTCACTCAGCACTATGTGAAGATATGTTTTGACAGCAAAGCTACAGCACTACCTTAGTCAATAATACTGAGAGTAACCGCCGGTTTCTGTTTTCACAGTACAAAACAACACACAAACCTTAGCAGTGGCACGTCAATCAAAACCCGAACCACTCCTTTTAGTCTTTCATGGCCCTTTAAATTGTTCCCTAACTTTTGTTTCTCGTTTTTGTTGTTATTGTTGTTGTTCTTATTGTGGTTGTTGATGGCTGCTGTGTAAATGAAAGGGGAAATGAGCTCTAGCGAATAGCTTGGAGAGGATTAATGCGCTGACACTCTTCCCCGTGGGGGTTCCCTCAAAAAGCCCATTCATTCTTTTAATGGCCCTCTATTTATCTCGCATTCCCTCTCATATCCGCCAGAAATCCAGCAGAAAGTTTTGCTCTCCTAATATCCCTGTCCCATATTTAATATCTCAGAGTTGCTTGTTTGAGAGGAAGGAGCTGAGCAAGGCTGCGATTTGTCGCGTCCCACAAATGTCGCGTTAATCAAAGCCATTATGGCCGAAAGGGGTAATTTCAGTGGCGGCATGTCAAAGGCAATATCTTTGAGTTTCACAACAATAAGAATAAGAGGAATACTGAGGGCGTAGATTTCAAGGTTGGAAAATTACAAGTTGAATTGGTAACTTAATATGCATTGCAGTGTCTTGGTGTCTCTAGTCATTAGAAATGAAGTGGGAGCTTTTTCTGATCTGAGTGAAATGGGTCTGCTGGCTTTACGCACACAGATTTTCTCTTGTGAGATCAGCCTCTCTAGTTCTTGGAGAGATTTTCCTCACTTTTTTGCCTTTGCCTTACTGGCTAGTTATAGTTAATGTTGAATCTGTTTGTATAATGAGGAACATCTCTCTAAAACAGTATGCTCATATTAGCATAGCTTTTGCTTATGGAGGCAGCGTGTGAAGTTGTTGCGGGTGTCAGCCAGTGCGTTTATTACTGTGAACCTTGACAGCTCGTGTGTTATCGTTATTTCTCCTGAATGCATCTGACAGTATTGTGTCTAACGAAAGCCCCTTGTTCACGCACAGTTTGAAGGGATCTGATCAGTACAGCAGCAGCACACGGCAGAGGAGGATTACTCACGACAGATAAATGATCGGGGAGCATGGCAGCACATAATAAAGGAATTACCGGGACATTTGTTAGTCTCTGGATTGTCTGCAGCCTGCTTTCTCCACCCAGCCCCTACTAACAGCTGTTTTATGAGAAACTGTCATGTATACACTGTGCACACAATTAGTATGTGGCCTTTTTTCCCCACTTGAGAGTCTGAACTAAAGCTCATGTTCTCCTCTTTTCTCCACAGGTCACCTCATTACGCCTGTCCTGAAGTCATCCGGGTGAGTGTGTACTGACAAAACTCACTGATGACGTTTTATATGTATATATGTATATGTTGTTGAAGTTGGATGTAACCTCTGATTTTGCTTCTCTGTCTCTTTCTCTTTTCTCTCAGGGGGAGAAATACGATGGGAGAAAAGCAGATGTATGGAGCTGTGGGGTCATTCTGTTTGCTCTCTTGGTGGTGAGTGCTGGCCAGTTTGTAGTTTCCCTTTAAACGCTTTTGTAGTCATTAAACGATTACGCTCTCTCATCCTTTTGTTCTTTTGATGAGTTTCACACTCAATATATCTTAGTGAATGAACTTTCATAAGAAAAACTAACTGTTATTTCTGTGGCATTATTTTGGCTCAGAGGTGGTAACAAGTCATTGGCCTGCAATTAACAACAAGTCTCAAGTCCCAAGTCAAGACAGATTAGACCTGAAACAAGTCCCAAATCAAGACAGGCTAGTCGAGTCAAGCTCCAAATCAAGACAGGTTAGTCCCGGTACAAGTTCCAAGTGAAGGACAGCTAGTCCCGAGTCAAGTTGCAAGTCAATACAGGCTGGTCCTGAAACAAGTTTCATGTCAGTACAAGGTGGTCCTGAGTCAAGTTCCATGTTAGTACAAGCAAGTCTCAAGTCAAGTTCCAAGTCAAGACAGTCTAGTCCTGAATGAAGTTCCAAGTCAAGACAGGCTGGTCCTGAGTCAAGTTCCAAGTTAAGACAGGCAAGTCTCTAGTCAAGTCCCAAGTCCTAAAGGTGGGAGTCCTAAACGAGTCAGGATACATTCTTCAGCAAATTTAGTGCCTGAACACGAACAAAGTTATGGTAGTTGTTATGTAGCATATTTAGTGATAGCCTGTTAAGTACCCTGCTCTTAAATCAGGATTACTGTTTTTTTTATTATTTATTATTTTTTATGGTACATGGATAACTATAATAGACACAGTAGAGCACACAAAATAGTGCTACACATTAACAAAAATTCCGAAGTTCTGTTGAACTTAACAGTTGAATAAAAATATGGCTACACCTGAAGATAATAACTGAAGATAATGATCTTGGTAGGCTGCCTGTTTTATGTAGCAAACACATCACAGCAGGTACTGCTTTTAGACTGACTAATAAAAAAAGATGGTAGTTTTTGCACATAGTGAAGTCTTATTGATGTTCAGTTGAGATTCCAGCTTATGGAGGGAACCTATAATTGTCACACTTGTCTCACTCAATGTCTGAAATAAAATAAGCAAAGGATAAACACAGTAGCACGTATTTGACAATGTTGATGTAGGGGGTCTGTATCATTGCAGGTCTGTCATGCCTATAGCCAGAAGCAAATCTGTTCTTTCTGCAGCCAGCTCGTCTCCACATTTCTTCCATTTTGGATCTCAAGTCTTTTTGAGTCACAAGGCCATAAGTTCAGGTTAAAGTCTGAGTAATTAGTGAACAAGTTAAAGTCAATTTGCAAGTCTTCGAGTCATCAAATTCATGACAAGTCTAACTTGAGTCCAAGTCAAATGACTTAAGTCCACCCCTCTGTATTGGCTTATAGTACCCTTTATGAAATGTACAAACCCCATTTCAGGAAAAGTTGAGACATTTTGTAAAATGCAATAAAAACAAAAATCTGTGATTTGTTAATTCTCTTGAATGTTTATTTAACTGACAAAAAAAAAGAAATGACTTTTATTATTTTGGCTGACCAACTTGATTGTATTTTGCAAATATAAACAAAGTTTGAATTTGAGGCCTGCAACACATTAAAAAGTTGGCATGAGACAAAATGTGAATGGAAAGTTTATAGAATATTCAAGTTACACTCTTTTGAAACATTGCACAAAAGAAGGTGAATTAGTTACAGGTGAGAGTCTCAAGCATGGGTATAAAAGGAACATCCATCAAAGGCTCGTCGTGGCTCACCACTTTTTTGTGCCAAACTTCATGAGAGAATTGTCAAGCAGTTCAAAAGGAAGACTGCAAAGAATTTAGATCTTTCACCATCTACCATACATAATATTGTGAAATTATTATGCTAAATTATTATCATGCTACTGTGTTAAATACAGCCACATGGGCTTGGGACTACTTTGGAAAACCATTGTCACTTAACACAGTTGCTGCAGTTGTTGAATCCAACTTCAAGCTCTGTTATGCAAGCCATACATCAATTCCATGGAAAAATGCCACAGTTCTCTGGGGCCGAGCTCATCTCAGATGGTGCGAAAGACAGTTGAAATGTGTGCTGTGGTCAAATGAATCCATGTTTCAGCTTGTTTTTGGGAAAAATGGACATTGAGCTCTCTGTGCCATAGACAAAAAGGAACATCCATACTTTTATCAACGAAAGGTGCAAAAGCCAGCATCTGTCATGTTATGGGGTGAATCAGTGCCTATAGCATGAGTGATGAGCATATGTGTGAAGGTACCATACAGAGGCATATATTGGAATTTTAGAGCGACATATGGTGCCATCAATATGACGTCTTTTCCTGGGAAGTTCATGGTTATTTCAGCAGGACAAGGCCAGGCCTCATTCTGCAAATGCTACAACAGCGTGGCTTTGTAGACACAGAGTGCATGTGCTTGATTTGCCTGCCTGCAGTCCAGATCTGTCTCCTGCTGAAAAGGAATGGTGCATCATGAAGGGGAGAATCAGACAATGATGACCACGGACTGTTGAGCAGCTGAAGTCTTGTATCAAGCAAGAATGGGCAAAAATGTATTTTGCAAATCTGGAATAATTAGTATCCTCAGTTCCCAAACATTATTGTTGGTGTTCATTATTATCAGTTTTTATACATTTTTATTATTGGTGAATGTTTATTGACTTAAAAAAATTGTAAAAAAAAAAAATGGTGGAAAATTTAGTAGATTTTTTTTTCTGCTCTTGAAAAACACTGGCTGCAATAGTAGCTGCTCCAGGACAAAGAGACCTTGTGGTCAGTGTTGAGAGCATTCTAAATGAATGACTCTGTCCATATTTCATATACCACTGTACTACCAGTACAAGGGCAAATATCTCCTTTCTAATTTAGCAGTGGATTTTCTTTTTTTTTTCCTTCTCTTCTCTTCTCTTCTCTTCTCTTCTCTTCTCTTCTCTTCTCTATTTTAGAGATTTGTATGTGCTGTAGCAGTGCTGTAAATGTAATAGTATCTATTGGAATGCACAGTATTGAAGCTCCAAACTCCTAAATAAATAGTGCAGACTCTGTTGGCAATGTACTTTTCTGCAAAATCACAAAAATCCTCCCGTACTCTGCCACTGGGACTGGAGTCAACATGCTCTCTCTAGCTTGTCTGTTTGGTATTTTCATTTGATTTTATCATTTTTGCTATTCACATTATTTCCATATTCCTTAGCCTCTACCAAAGTTGTTTTCTCCAAAGAAATAGCTCAGTTTTTCTCAGAGCAGAACAGTGAAGGAAAGAGTATGCCAGGAGCTGCGCACGTAGCCTAGCCCCTCAGCCCAGTTGGTTAAAACACTATTCGTTTGATTCTGTTTGACGGCTTCTCTCCCCTGTAGTTAGGCTGTCTTCTGATCATCAGTTATATGAGTCTGGCTTAGCCACGGAGCAGCCATTCATCAAAGACAGATGTCTGTAGAGTGTCAGCACTGCTGATGAACTGCTCAGTTGACAAGAGAGGTGCCAGGCAAAGCTAATTGTGAAAAAAGTTGCTTCTGCTCTATTTTTTACTTTTGAAGAACGTGTTCCTCATCCTGCACTCTAATTGATATCACTCTAAATACTTCTCACTGGCCTGAATTTTACTTTCTCTGTTTCTCGTTTGTGCTCTTTCCTCCAGGGAGCCCTGCCATTTGATGACGATAATTTACGGAACTTGTTAGAAAAAGTGAAGCTGGGAGTGTTTCACATGCCGCACTTCATTCCACCAGACTGCCAGAACCTTCTACGAGGGATGATAGAGGTGGACGCTAGCAAACGACTAACGGTTAGCCCTTTCTTTTTGTATTTCATCCCCGGTCTCAATAAACACCACATCTCCAGTGGTTTGGGAGTAGCTTCTTTTTTGGGCTGTTCTAATTGCCACAGTTACAGCCAGGCATGGAGAAAGTACATAATTTGGGCTGAAGTGAAAATATGGGTGTTGTGTCAAAATCTTACTCAATTAAAAATAGAAAAATGGAGCCAAAAATATACATGAGTAAAAGTGAAAAATTATCTACATTAAAGCGGTTTGAATATAAAAGTTTGAACACCCCCAGTCAAATTCCATGTTTTGCTGCCTTTCTTCCTCTACAGGGAACACATTTAAATATGGTTTTGAAAAAAAGACTTTACTTTGCTAGGGGTGCCAAGACTTTTGCTTATTACTGTAAATAAAAGCAAAAAGTAAATGTTCAAATATAAAAATATAAAGGTTTCTTTTTTGGTGGTGTGATATGGCAGAGTGTGGTGTGGAAAATAATGGATGGCTCTGGTCTTACAATACACAGTAACGAATCAGCATAGTTATGGGCAGTTATGTTTTATTTTAATAGAATTTGTATGAATGTTTTAATAAAAATGAATAATAGAATGAAAAATAAAATAAGAGCATTGGCACTGTCATCAGGAGATCGCACATTTGATCCCTAGTGATGCTACAGCAATCCATGGCCTTGAGTCCAAAAGAGCACAATTAGCCTTTCACAATTAGTTTGAAAAGATGTGGTGGCTGGCTTCACAGGTCTTGGAGGAAGCCTGTACTAGCCTTTACCCTCCTAATGCTGGTGGTAGCGTGTGATATTGTGTGGACAAAAGAAGGTTTTGTTTCTCTTAGAAATGTAACTGAGTAAAAGTACTGAAGTAAAAGTATTCAGTTTCAGTAATACTTGAGTTTATTACAGAGTGCAATAAAGGACAATTACTCAAGTGTTCTCCATCCCTGGTTACAGTGTTTTGCGTATTTGGTGTCCAGTTCTAGACTTTCATTTTGATTTGTTTCTCCATGCTTCACTCTAATTTGTGAATAATTTCTCTGTACATTTTCCACCCTGTTTATAACGTTGGTTGATGTTACATGTTTATTAGCTTTAAAAAGGTACTAAACCGTCACTGGGGTGGTATCCTCAATGGTGTGTCTTCAGTACCCTTTCCGTATTCCATTGAAATTATATTTAAGTTGCAGTGACTCCATAAACCCTGTTTTGTTTTGTTTTTTATTTTAAAATAGTAGGCTATGAAAAGTACAAACATCCTCAGGGAAAGTGAAATGTATCTTTATAACTCATTTAAGGTACACAGTTGGGCCTTTAGACCATCTGTACTGATTGTACCTTTGCAAATAAAAATGTACAGTACCTTTTTTCTGACAGTGTAGCTGTGATAACAGACAGCAGACAATTACTGTAGTGTATTATTACAACGTACAACATCTGATTACTAGACTGAAGTCGTCATACTTCGGAAATATGAAGTAGACACATGTAGGTGTGAGTTTACTTCATCTAAACATAGTCAAATATCATCTCTGCAGCGCAAAGAAACAGCTTTTACTAACGTAATGCTTATAGACATACAGTTGGCACAAATAATTGTACCGTCCCGGCCATGTCCACTTTAGAACAGCTCATTACCCACTGTAGAGTATTCATTGCCCTTGTGCCAACTGTATGTCATACTGTCACTGTATTATCATGAGGGTGTAATGAGAGATGATATAATAAATCAGACACGTCTCAGCTTTACTCAACCTATGCTGCTCTGAAGTTAGTAATGTTCTAAAAATTCATATGAACCTATGATGAAGCTGTTTTTCCATGCTGTGTCTGTCTCTGTCTTGCATTCTCCATTTCTGTTGGATGTGGTGAGCAACCTTGACATTGTGACTTTGGGATAGGTCAGATAATGATACATGGCTTGAGAGAGAGAGAGAGCAGGAGAGAGGGACAGCACGTCTGGAAATATAAATAATAAATCTTGTCTGAGGGTTCAAAGGCAGACTGGTGCTCGTGGCTGTGCCCTTTGTTGTAGCGCTGGCTGCTCTGTTTGTGGAGCAGTGTGCATATTGAGATAGCGAGCTTAGCCGACCAGCACACACACCTCCAGCTATACTGTGACCCTTTTGTCTTTACGCGCTGGATTTGTGCGCTAACGTTCTTCAATGAATGCTAATATCACAGACGTGCGCGAGGCTATCTATCACTGTGCTGTGCGACCCTGCTCCACCCGGCCGCTCTGAGAAAGAGAGGCGTAATGTGTGTTAAGATACTGCAGAGGACCAGCACATGCTGAGCTCAGGCATGCAGGTCTGACAAGCTTTCCAGGGCTTGCTCAAGGGGAATTCAAGGATATCCAGAGGTTTGTTATTATAGAGAGACTCCAGCTATAGGGCCGCAGCAAGTGCTGCAGCACCACTGCTCACCACATTGTTATCCCCAAAGCTATCCTGCTTTGACTCAAGGCTGGGCAATATGGCAAAAACTCAATATTATGATATTCCATTTCTCTGAGGTTTGACAACATGGAGCAGACAAAAAAGCTCAGCAGTACGACATTTAAAAATACTTTCACAACTACACAGTGAGTTTTAAAGTTTCACATACTGCACTGCATTAAATCCATTTAAAGAGCACTTATTATGCTGTCTTCTTTAAGTAGCGATGGTATCCACTGTATGCTCAAAACTGCATATTGTGATGTTATTTCTCACAATAATGATAAAATGTTGTCATATTGTCCTTCCCTGCTTTGACAGGAAGGGGCCATTTGATTGACATGCAAGATGACCAGCCACAAATTGTTGTCATTGTTTGATGTTGAGGAGGAGGCAGTTATCAAAACAGCGTTACAGGAAAAACAGACCCACATGAAACAAAATTACTTACCTGTCAGCTAACACATAAGGAAAAAGTGAATGTATGTTAACACATCCTCTACAAACTTAAATATGGTATTTTCCTGCAAATTTTAGTTTTAACATCTTGGAAAAAATAAAGCATAAAATATCACTTTTGCACAGGCCACATTTTGTTTTTTGTTTTCTCCTGTATATTAAATTCAGCAAATAAATAGTAATTGTGTATTAACATGTGTAGAAGTGTGTTCTTTATAGAGGATGCGTTTCACTTCCTAATTAACAAAACATGCCCACACCTTTGCATAGGACTGTATCTTTACATCTGAATACTAAGGTTTTAAAGTTATTACAGTTAAACTTTCTTTTTTATTCAGTGATTAAATCTTGCTCTGACAGGCCTACTGTTGGGAAAAAATTGCTTCTCATCATACTGATAAAAACTAGTACACATGGATGTAACTGACAGATTTCCAGTAGTTGTGACAATCTTAGTGTACAGTGAATATCAGACGGTCTGTGTACCTCTGAGGCTGAGACTACTGTTGGGTTTGCCTTTATCTACATGTCAGAATGCAGTCTGGGATTTTTTTTCCCCTTAGCTAGTTAGTTTAGCTGATTTGCTGTGGAAGGTGATGATGCCGGTCATGCCATACCAAACTGATTTTGCAGAATCTTTTCCAGATAGCAGCAGAATCTGTAACTAGTGTCAGCCAGGTTGTTTTTCTGTTGAGGCAGTAATCTTGTGGAAGAAGATGTACATTAATGTGTTTTACTGATTTAATTCACATGATTTAATAACAAATAGCAACAAATCTACATAGTGCAAGACTTGTGGAAGGTTGACATCATACAAAACTCCAGCCTGTAAGAAACAAAGCACAGGTGCATGAGAGCACAGCTATGCGAAGTTGTGTGGATTGACAGAGTGGGGTGGTTTAAAGCTTCCATCAGCCTTTTTTCCCCTCCCACACTATTTTCCCATGTTATACAGTTGTTGCCTTAATTTACGTTCTTTATAATCTTAGGAAAATCACATTGAACTGCTGTGATCATCTGACATCTGACACCTCCTGCAACTAACTGGAGTCATTGAGAGTGCATCATATTACTATTACTATTTTCTTGACAAAGATTAAAAGTTTTTATTATTAATAAATAATAAATTACCATATGTCAGCTTATATCTGTGCAATTTTGTATCCTTCAAGTAGCCAATACAATGAAATCTTTTGACAGTGAAACAAATGAATAAAGAATGAACATTTGCCAATTAGTAAGCAGTCACATCACAGTCCTGAAATTTATCCAGCAGCCCTACTCAGCAGTGTCTCTCTCTCCTTGTCTTGCTCTCTCTCTCTCTCTCTCTCTCTCTCTTTCTCTCTCTTTCTCTCTCTCTCTCTCTCTCTCTCTCTCTCTCTCTCTCTCTCTCTTTCTCTCTCTCTCTTCCTCTCTCTCTCTCTCTCTCAGTGGAAGTATGTATTTTCTAACAGAATGTCAGTGTAGGACACAGTGTTGCAGAGTTCATATGAAATGCATGCCACTGCGCTGAAAGATACAGAGAGGACAGACCCTGTGGTCATCCTCAACAGTGTTGCATCATAGTTCATTCCTGAAATCATTCCTGTTCTGTGGTGCAGCATGTCCCACGAAAACTAGGCATACAGCAGCAGCATCCTCAAACACTAACAGAGTTCAAAAACTGTTGTCATCACACTGAGAAATCTGTTTTTGTCGTTTTGCTATGAATTAATGAAACAAATGAAATAAATAAGTCAAACAGTGACAAACGTGACAAAAAAGTCTTCCCACAAAACTGTACCTCCAGCAGTTTCCCATCAAATTGAAATCACAATTCTGCAAACGCTAATGTAAAGACGGAATTTCACTACCTGTTTCAGTGAGCTATGAGTAGGAATTATTATGAGCTAATATAAAATAACATAAAATTAATTAATATTAAATACTCTTGTTTTCACAAACTGTTATCTGCAACTTCTAAAAAGTAAAATTGTGATTTTAAGTAATGTTAACCCTCTGTTGCATATATCATGAGGACAATGTTTCATCTAATTTTCTTACATAAAAAGTAGCTGATTATTAAATTATTTAATTATGAAAAATGACATGTGGGATGGAGCCTTTTTGGGAACGTTGCCTTGAGGTAACATTGTGCAACAGTGGACAGAAATGATACAGAGCTGTCAAAACTTTGGTAAAATGAGTAAAAGAATAGAGTAGTTTTCAAACGGTCGGATTTGGATTTAATTTTTTAAAGTGATGACATTGGTAAAACATACCATATGCTGCCTGCTTAATGTCAGAATTTACTGAAATGTGCTTCGAGCCATTAGTATTGTTTATAAGTTAAATAAACAAAAATAAAGTTGCATTTACTAAATAAACAATAACATTAAAACTCATTTGAAATGAAAGATTGTAGTTCTGTCAACCTATAGCCTACTTTACTTGCTACTGTAGACTACAACCATTCTACTAGTGCACAATGTTGCTTCTAGGTACCATGCACTTTTAAGCAGTTTCTCAAATTGTTGATTGCTGGACAGGCTTGAATAGTTACTATACTGCATTGCATGGATATTAGTTACAATCTCTATGCCTCCAACACAATAGTTACTCTGTGTGTATGTGTGTGTGCACATTTATGAATAATATCACAGTTGACCCCTTTAGGCGCAGTTATGCAAATGTCGATTGGCCATTTTCTGTACCTTCATCTTTGAGCTCTAAATCATTTGTCACTGTAACGTTGATTCATCTGCTCTCAGATTCAGAGTGATGGCAGTTCTCTCTGCCTGTGGTTGCCCTCTGTATAATAACCTCTTCTTTCACACTGCTTAGAATGAAGATGTTGAAGATGTAAAGCTGATTGTACTCTTTTTGTTTCCTCTTGCAGTTAGAACAGATCCAGAAGCACACGTGGTACATGTAAGTGTATCTCTCTAACTGTAATATGTATGTGTGGCAGATAACGGTACTGTGACAGTAAGGGAACTCTGCTAATGCTAATGCATAAGACGGGTTTTGAGCTTGTCTAAACGGAGATGGAAGTGTAGTGTGTGTAGTGTGTAGTATGTAGTGTGTGTGTGTGTGTGTGTGTGTGTGTGTGTGTGTGTTAGATGAATTGCACAGTCCCCACGTGTCACCAGCAAGGACAAGAATCTGCAGGCCCGGCGGGGTTCAGCTGTCTGCTTATATGCCCGTGATCCTGCTGTGTGACTTCCCAGAGAGAGAGAAAGAGAAAGAATCTAGTAGTGGGCTGTGTTGACAGGCCCCCTGTCTCATACCCCTTCTGAGGTCAAAGACACGTTGAGCTGACTCTCCATGGACACCCCAGTCACCTGCACTGTGTGGTAGAATGCTTTGACCATGTTTCCCACAGATGGTAACACCAAAATCTCAGAACCTCTTTACACCTGCTTGTTTCATGCAGCCTGTATCTGGACTGATATCCTGATACAGTTTGAACTATTTACAATAGTCAGTACAGTTGCATTTACAATAGTCCAGAGGACATCAAATCTAGACCTTAGTGTTATAGTTCTTGAGTCCAGTCTTAGTCTTGTCTTGGTCTCAGCGTCATTTAGACTTAGTCTTGTCTCAGTCTTGTGGTTATGTAGACTTGGTAATTGTTCTCCAGATCAGCCTGGTGCAGTGCCTCCATCTGCGCTAACTGGAAACTGTTGTTTTTTCTCTCATTAGCGATTTACTACAAAACCTTCAAACCCTCAAAAAGGATAAAACAATCCTTTCTCTACATGTTTAATTAAAAACTGCTCACTGTCAGTTGAGGATCAAATTGATCATTTCCATTATGGCTTAACTGGATTTTATATTGTTATTATATATAATGTTATTACAATATTATATTATTATATATAATTCTTATATTAATGTTTGTTTATGCTGATTGGTTCCAAAATTCACACACTCACTGAGGGCAGCTCAGAATCTTAGTATTACTCTGTTTTCATTTAATAATAAAAATGAATGTACGTATGCTTTATGTTCACTTGGCTTTTGGTGCTGATTTTAAATAGGTTTTAGAGAAGAAGAGACAGAGAATAACCTCACTGTCATTTGCTTCCATCAGTTACAATGCAATGTTGGACTAAAACTGTAATATATTATTAATCATTAATATTATTTTAGGCTATATATTATTTAAAGTTGAATTTTACTAAATATATTACAAAATGTAATTTGTCAATGTACACATCATGAGTAATGAATATACAGTTAACTACAAACAAATTTTATTTATATTTAAAAACATCTGTATCTAATCTCGGTCTTGTCTCAGTCTCTGCCACTATTGGTCTTGGTCTTGACTCAGAACTATTGCAAGTCTTCATTTTAGTACTGTAAAGAAATTTAGTAAGTTTCTCCACATGCACAATACTTTCACTGACTTTGTTTACATTTCAATTATTTAATTATGCAGAAATTTAAAATTTCCATTTAACAGAACTGTTGAAGTAAATGAGCGAACACTTCATGTCATACAGTAACTACAAAATTCAGGACCTGAAACTGGATTCAGGCCCTCGATTGCTCTGTCACATAAAATGCAAATCATCTCATAAGACAGCAACCTGTGTTTGTGTCTGTGTTGTTCCTTGTCTCCTTAGACAACCACAGTTTCTCTTTGAAAATCACAGTTTTGCATGTTCACGTGTGAACTTAGATTTAATGGAAGACGCTGACTTCGGCAGATGATGTTTACAGGAACCAGATGTTTTAGTCATTAAGCTCATTGAAATATGTGTGCCGTTAAGTAATATATTGGGAGAGGTTTTAATTGTCAAATGTAGCTTAAAGAAACGGATGTATTTACACTTGTAGAACATCTGTGTCACACCACCTCCTGAAGTGGTTTGAGTGATGGGATTTCAGTCTATTTTAAAAGTGTCTTTTGTGTATTTACAGCTGCATTTTTATGTGGATAATCCTTTTCTGGATATAATCCTGATACTGAAGATGCATGAAATGGTCAGGTGAAAACGAGATCTTAGAGAGAAAAACAAAAACAAGTAGGGCTGTCAAAGAACAGTGAAGCCAGGCTCTTCTCTATTGTTGCTATTGTGCATGAACAAAGATGTGCTGAAATACACTAATCAGAGTCATGCAGTGGAATCTGCCAAGCTTTAATTGTGTCTTTTCTTAGAGTGCTGCACATGAAATTTTCAATGTATGTAATTATGGTTAGATATGTGATTACTTGCAATTGTACGTCTGTAGCTGCTAGTTTCACTTTCATGGAGATCTGTTGGTTAAGCCTTTTAATAGATTTTCTTTCTTAAAGTGATAGTTCTATGAAAAATCAAATTTTCATTTAGGAACTTTAATTTTTAACAGTGTAGCTTAAAATGGTTATCGTGGCCTGAATTTTGTCCATACTTTTGTTTTGATTGGTTGTGCATAAATAACAGTATGTCATAGTGTCAGAAACCACATAAGCAAGTCTATGTAACTGTGCTTATGACAGCTTATAACGTAGCTTCAAGATTCAAGAACCAAACTTTGGACACCAAACATGTCTTGGCTGATCAGACACATTTGGGGTAAACAGGAGAACTGTGTCAATTTTTTTTTAAACCAAACTTTCGCTTCAAAGTTGGCTGTTGTGTCTGGGTGCTAAACTGTATATGTGGAGCTGTTGGTCAGCACTGGTGCTTTTTGGTCATTGTTGCAGTGGGGGGAAGAACGAACCGGAACCCGAGCAGCCTGTGCCGAGGAAGGTGGCCATCAGAAGCCTGCCATCGGCCGACGACATCGACCCCGACGTGCTGGAGAGCATGCACTCGCTTGGCTGCTTCCGGGACAAGAACAAGCTGATGAAGGACCTGTTGTCGGATGAGTGAGTGGCTTTGCACTAATCTGGAGTCAGTCAGGGGTGGTCAAAAGGATATTCCAGCCTAAACCTACCATTTAAACAGTTATTTGTTGTGTCATATGATATTCTGTAGTGCAGCATTGCATTGACATCAGTGTTTTCTCACTACAATATCCAGCATTCATTCTGCTAATACATCATACAACCACTGAGAAACCCCCATACACCAATATGATGTAGAGGCTATTAAATACAGACATGATAATTCAGCTTTAAAGCAGTTAACGTTAGCTATTTGACTTCCTTCTACATTTGGGGGTGAGGAGTTTAAATAGTCCACCCTCATGTGTCTGTCTCCAAATTGCTTGTAGTTTTCCAAAAGTTTCTCTTACCTTTAAGATATATCATTAGAAGGGAGTTTTCCTAGTTTTTAACCTGGAAAATTTTACTCTCTGACTATTGTGGCACGATAGTCAGCAAGTCACAGAAAATGTGCTTACTTGTTAAGTTAACGTTTTATGTCCCATTAAATGTTTTTGAAGCATTTTTGGGATATCCTGCAGTTTGCAGCTGTCTCTGTAGGCGAGTGAAGCTGAAAGTACAGCAAGATGGGAACTTTTTGAACATAAACCTCTCAAGAAAGCGCAGAGCTTTAAAGGACATATAAACGTGGCTTCATAATCACTGATTGAAAAAGGCCAGTTGTTATTGTTGAAATCTGTGCCTATAAAATCTTACCAAATGAAAAACTGGCAGTTGAATACCACTGTTTGCTGCTGACAGTCTCTCTTTAAACCCCCATGCACCAATATGATGTTGAGGCTATTAAATACAGACATGATAATTCAGCTTTAAAGCATTATTTGACTTCCTTCTACATTTGGGGGTGAGGAGTTTAAATACTCATGTATCTGTCCCCAAATTGATTGTAGTTTTTCAAAAGTTTCTCTCACCTTCAAGATGTATCATTAGAAGGGAGTTTTCCTAGTTTTTAAACAGGACAATTTTACTCTCTGACCATTGTGGTACCACTGCAGGAGGTGAGTAGGCATGTTCACAGCAGATGTAGAGATGGTACAGTTTTTCATTTTGCTTCTTTAATCCCTTAAAGTGGAATTAAGAATTATTCAGTAACTGCTATGAAGCTTGTTACATCATTGTTTCTAATTGTGTGTCTATAACGTGGTAATGCACTGTATGCAGTTTAAAGAGTTAAACTATAATAACCATTAACTATATAAACCTCAGATAAGGCAGATAAATCTACTTGATTCCAAGCAGGATACAAAAGAATTAAGCTATAATGAAAAAAGTATTGGTTCTAGGGAGAAATGGTTGCCTTTGCTGGCCCATTCAAAACCCCACCAGAATGCACACATGGACACACACAACACAGACTTCTTCAACCATCTATACACACGCACTCACACAGAAAGACCCTGAGCTTGTCTTTTGGACAAGTCATTCGTCAAACAGCACTTACATTATGATGGGCGCTGCGGCAGTGCTTCAGTTATTTCCCTAGCCTCAAAGTACAGCTATTTTCCCCTTCAGATCTGCTCCTTTGAGTCATTCTCTTTCTATATTGAGGTGCTTCATGCTTTTTTTGCCATCTTTCCATTTTTTGTGCTGATGTTCGTGTGGGAGCGGAGTATTTGAGGGCTGAGATGCTGCTGGATGGTGGAGCTGCGTTAGGGGTGTAGGGTGGAGGGCTCGTATATCATATAGAAGTGGCACACTCATCGCCAACCTGCTCCTCACTACAGCCTCTTACTGTCTCTGGCTCTGATAAATGGACCTCGGGATGGTATTCATAAAGCATCACACAGCTGGAGTACTGATCTAAGGCCTGTTTGTTTTACTGTGCTCTGTGTAGAAATTAAATGGAGATACTTTGTAAATACATCTATGACTCATGTTCTGTGTTGTAAGTGTCCAGGTCCATTTACAGCAGGTACTCATACACCAGTCTTCCACTTTCTTTTTCCATCCCCTCAGTGACAACCAGGAGAAGATGATCTATTTCCTCCTGCTGGACCGGAAAGAGAGGTACCCCAGCCATGAAGACCAAAACCTCCCCCCACGCAATGACATAGGTATTCCTTCAGTGCACTCTCACATCACTATGGAAATTTCTTGCTTCTTTCTATTATCCACTAAAGATTTAGAATTCTTTAATATTTGCTGGACACCCACAGTTGTATACAAAAGTCTGGACACCCAGGTCAAATTATGTTTTATTGATTTTCTAAGTGAAAATAAGTCACACATCCTCTACACACTTTAATGCACAATTACTGTTTATTGGCTAAATTTAACATACTGGGGGAAAAATAAATAAATAAATAAAGAAAGAAAGAAAGAAAGAAAGAAAGAAAGAAACATAAGATGTGGCCTGTGCAAGAGTTATGTTTTAAACTCAGCAAATAAATAGACGTTGTGCACTAAATATAGCATAAAATGACAAAAAAGAAATATTTTTTTTAATTATATATATTGTTTACTTCTATTAAACAAACATCATGTTCTTTTCATTTTATGCTATTTGTACCATACACTTTGAGATGATGTCACTGTTTTATTTATATGCAAATAAATAAAATAAATATATATATCCTCCTTATTTTTTATATGACTGCTGTATTTTGAGGTTATGGCCACAGTATCCAGTTGGGGAACAGAAGTGTTGTTCATTTCTGTTTTAGCTAGTCACAGAAAATGTGCTGACTTGTTAACGTTTTATGTCCCATTAAATGTTTTTGAAGCATTTTTGGGATATCATGCAGTTTGCAGCTGTCTCTGTAGGCGAGTGAAGCTGAAAGTACAGCAAGAACGGGAACTTTATGAACATAAACCTCTCAAGAAAGCGCAGAGCTTTAAAGGACATGAATGTGGCTTCATAATCACTGATCGAAAAAGGCCAGTTGTTATTGTTGAAAACCATGCCTATAAAATCTTACCAAATGAAAAACTGGCAGTTGAATACCACTGTTTGCTGCTGACAGACTGTCTTTAACTGGTCTATACTTTATATTCTTTTTGTAACTGGATATATTCTACTCTCATTAGGGTAGGCTAACCTTCCAGTAGTAATAGACAAACTTTAAGCCTTCACAGAAAGACTTACTTGAAAACTGAGGCATACAAAGTAAAGATTATTGTGATGTCTGCCAGGGAAGATGATGCGGGTAACATAGTGCTTTCAGAAAAGACCCTTTTACTGAACTGCCAGTAGCTCTGCTGCGCAGCACTGACTGAAGTGGCCAGGGTTAGCAGGCAGGTCAACAACAGCCACACCTCTGCAGTACATGGTAGATGCTAACACTGCCAGCTAATCTAACTGCCTAGCACAAAATGTCCACACAACAATTTACAAATTGTTACAAATTGTTGTAATGTTACTTAGATACATGCCTGTTATTAGCTTAAAATGTCTTTATTTAAACTAGAGCTGGCATCAGAGTCCAACAAAATGCTGAGCTAACCCCAATAGCTTGGTGCTAACATCACGTACAAAGAGCAATATCTTAGCACCTGGTAAAAAATATATGTTAAATTTCATGTGATTATGAAACATTACTGTGTGATGGCATTGCTTTATGGTTTTATGCTTGAGAGTGAGAACAAAATTAAAAAGTTGAAATGAAAAGCCTTTATTAGCATAAGTAATTAGTGTAGGCTCTGGATAGGACCCTCAGGCTAAAGTGTTGCTCTCATGTATGCTCAGGTATTTCTGTTGACAGATCAATTACGAACATTGGCACAAAAGCATTTAAGCTTCCCAACAATAAAGCTTATTTATATTTTTATTTTATATGGTTATTTATTCCCTCCTTTGTATCGTGTTAGGATGTCATTAGCATTTAATAAATACAGATTGTTTGCATTTCACTGTAAGTCCGGTCCATAAGCCAATCAAAGCATCATGGGGCGCAGGAATAAGGTAGATACACACACACACACAAAATGGCCCACATATACATAAATACTCTCAAATTAAAGCTGACATTCTATACTTTTTAACCTCAAATTCCTTGTTTCATTTCACATCCACTATGCTGGCGTACAGAACAAGAACAGCAAAAATTGTCATGGTCCAGTTAAATATGGACAGCACTGTATGCTGGGTCAGTAATTTGACTCATTAGGCGACACTGCAGTTACAGAAAAAAAAAGTCACAATTCTCCACACTTTCTCACTCCACTTTTTTGTTACACTTCCCAGTCAACACCAGCAGGCCCCAGTGGGCACCACAATGGCTTAATTGCAGTAAGCACTCACAGCAATGATCAATCTGGGATTAAATGGAGCTGCTGAATGAAGCTTTCCAGATCAGTGCTTGATATTGACTGTGGATGCAGCCAGTGTTGTGCTTGTGGGACTGCTTTTGAAATGCTATGTATATGTGTGTTTGTGTCTGTAGATCCCCCAAGAAAGCGAGTAGACTCCCCCATGTTGAACCGACATGGCAAGAGGAGGCCGGAGCGTAAGTCCATGGAGGTGCTGAGCGTGACGGATGGAGGATCACCTGTGCCAGCACGACGAGCCATCGACATGACACAGCACGGACAGAGGTGCAGCAGAACACACACTCACACGCTGTATGTTCACATCTAGTTTTTTGTCTTTGCAAGACACTCTGTGTGTAATTTCTTCCCACACTGACGTGTCTCACTGATTACTCTGTCAGCTGTTAGAACTGACATGAGTGGAGAAGCCAAACTTTGGCATCTAACTCGTCTGAATTTGTTCATTGTCTTAGTGTTTTACCTTATTTTTTCACGCTTTGTGAGTTTGAGTGCCTGTTGGGTAGCTGTAGTTATTGCTACTGGTAGCTCTAATTATGGACATTCTCTCTCAGCAGCTACAGAAGTGCTAATTACTGTAGTTTAACTTAGCTTTACCTGACACAGCTCAGGTTGTTCAATTGACCAAATAATCCAATAAAACACATTAGAGAAATACCAGAAAACATTACCTTGTCTCCAGCAGTAATGTCTCAACTGAGTGGCTTTGTTTTTCTGCCAGAGCTGAGCACTATTATTTTTATTATTTTATTATTTATATAATTTTTATTATTATAGAGAATGAGCTGGTAAACTCAAAACACTGTCATGACAGTTTACAGAACCTAACAGAAGTGCTAAGAAGTCTTAAGTACATTACTTAAGAATTGTGTGTGTCTGCTGTTTTTCTGAGAAATGTGACAACTGGTAGTCATAAATATTACATTCAGTAAAGCTTTTTAAAGCTATTTAAATATTGAACATATCAAATTCAGTTATCTGATATTTTTAACTCCTTAAAATCAGCATCTGTGCCAGTGAGTGTGATTACATACACATTAATAATACAGTTATCTTATTTTAGCATTAACCAGATTATTTTAGTGGTCAGTGTACAATTCCTCAAGTTGAGTTGAAGCTGTTATCACATTTCATGAAATCTGATAAAAACACCTATGATTTTAGCTAAATCATTTGGTAATTCAGTGTAAGTATCATTAATTAATCTTGTATCTTCAGTTTTTCTACATCTGCATATGTGTAGAACTGGAGCAGTAAAGTCTACAGTTTAATTCATGACTGAAACTGTGAAATGGTGACGAATTGCCACATAATATAAAATTTAGAACCATAAAACCTCTCAAATAAGTGTTAGCAGTAAACCACTGTTGAAGCAAACTGCTGCAAAAAGTTTGAAATTTACTTTACAAGCTTCGTCTTTGTTGTGATTATAGGTATATTGCAAAGAGTTGTATGTATTGTGTATTTAAAAAGAAATGTGATTATTGAGTGAGTTCTGTAGACCCAGAAGTTTACCATTATAAGATTACTCAAGTGCTAATATATTTTAATTTAATAATTGCCAAAATGTGATTTTCTGCACTTGTTAGATCATTATGTACATGTAAATGCACAAAATGTGACAGTGTTTCTATTGGTCAGGCCCATGCACACAAATAAAGGAGAGAGCAATGGTGGGGCTTGTTTGTTTGTTTGGCCTGCAGAAGGGGCAGAATGGGTGTATTGTGCAGGACTGCATGGAGATGCTGACTGTGTGTTCACTTTGTCTCCTGCTGTAGTAAAACAGTGTTCAGTAAAAGCTTGGATATCTCTGAGGCCCACCCCAGGTGCAGCAAAGAGGAAAGGTACTGCCATAACTACCTGTCTGACCCTTAAATGGCCCTTACTACACCCACCACAAAGATGCAGTGTTGCTTTTCCACTTCCGTTCTTTTCAATGAGCCCATTTATTAAGTTCATCTACAGCCAGCCAAAACAAAACCCCTCAAATTGGCTTTTAAATATCTTGAATGGGCAGTTTTATGCAGTATTCAAGCTATCTGAATGAGCTTCTTTTGTTGCTGTGCCAGCTGTCTTGGACCGGCCCGGTCGGGCTCGTTGCACGCTGGTCCAGGAGGATTTCATCACATCTGGCTGTTGTTCTCTTTGTCCTGTTTGTTCATCAGCAGCGTTCTGGCCATGCTCCCGTCACAGAGGAACACAGTTGGTGTCCCGTACTTTCATTTCCCTGCTCATTCCCAGCTTGCCCTTTCATTACACATCTTTCATTCGCACTCAAATGTCAGGATGGGGCTGATGGCAGAAATGAAATTGGGAATTGACTCCAGATGACCTGACCTCCAGAATGATACATAAGGCAACTGGGGCTTTTAAAAAATATCATTGAAAGGTAATAGAGTGGTAAGAGAAGGCAGCTGCATAGCAATAGAAAAAGGATATCTGTCTCTTCCTCTGCTTCATCATATTTCTGGATATTTTCTTATGGCAGACTCCCTTGATTTCATGACAGGTTGATTGCATTTGCTTTCACTTATTTAATCCCTAAATTTCATTATACATGTATTTGCAGTTCAGTTTATCAGTCTCAATAATAATGTGTTCAAGTTAGATTTTTGAAGATTTGAAATGTAATTAATAAATGTAAATCTTTGCTGTCTGAATAAAATCTTATATTTCCAGAATGGTAACTTCACAGAAGATTGAAAAATGTTCCTCAAATTGAAATGAATGTAACAAGATATTTTTTCCCATGTAATTCAGGACTATTTCTCACCATTAATAACCAACACAGACACTCTTAAAAATAATAAGGTGACAAAAAGAGTTCTTTGAAGACCCACTTTTGTTTCCCCGAAGAACTATGTTTGAAACAGAGTTTTGTGAGTGTGAAGAACCCTTTAAAGGTTTTAAAGAACTTCCACATTATGGGAAGGTTCAGGTTCCACTTTAATGGCTCTTCCTTCATTATGTGGAGGCAGTGGTGTCGGAACTGGGGGGCCGGGGGGATGTGTCCTCTTCAATGTTTAAATGATGAATATATGTAATAGAGTAAAATACAACAGGCCTCATTCATCAATATCTTTTCTTAAATTAGTTCTTGAGAAAGGTCCTGAGAAAAAGTCTACATCAGAGATTCGTGACGTGTTTTTAAACCGCAGAACTGTTCACACCTTTGTGCTCTTGCATGTATGTAAATTCTGTTCTTACCTAACAACAGACCCCAATAAGAAAACATTGGTGAAAGTCAGAATCTTTGTGAAACGTGCATAAGTGGGTTTTAAGAAGAAATTTCTTCCTAAGCACAGTTGGTGAGTCAGGCCCAACCTTTTTGATATGTTACAAATGCATTTGACAAGGAATCAATACGGGTATTGCGTTCGCTGTCATTGTTTGAAGTTTTGACTGTTCTTCCAGCTTTTCCAACAAGCAGATGTAACATTTCTCAATGTCAACAATGGACATGCCCCCCAATGAAAAAAAAACAGGGCCAGGAGATATTAGAATGTTATAGATATTCAGAGAGTTCATAGAGTTTCATAGAGACATTCATAGAGTTTGTATTTATTTATTTATAGTTTTTGCTAGCATAGCATCAGTTTAGTGATGTTTCGAATAAGATGGCATTAGCAGCCAGCAATTAGCCTATTAAGATAGCTTAGACTTTTATTCTCATCTCTCTCTCATCAGAGTCTGAGTGTTGTGAGTCTGACTTTTGCCTTCAGTTTACTAAGAAGTTGATTGGCTCTTGTTTTTGAAGGCTGAGACTTTTCATAGGCATGTTGATCGTTCACATTCATATTTCGACCAATAAACTGTTGAATAATAAACCTTTTATAATACATCTGTTCTCAGCTATGGTTAGGTATGGTTATGGTTTCACGTTTCCAACTCTGTCATACACCAGTGTTTGGCTGTTCTTTAAACTTTATAAAATTTCTTCACACTCTCACATCTCATTTACATAAATGTTTATCTAAAGAACCATCAACTGAAAGGATCTTTAGGTAGTCAAAAGTGGTTCTTCTACATCATCGTGCAAAGAATGCACATTTTTAAGAGTGTTCTGATGTGCATATGTACATGCCTCTGCTCTTATTCCATTCTGTCACTCTCCCATGATCACCATCTTACTCCTTTATTTGTTTGTGTGTTAATTTGTTTGTTTTTTTATACACATCCATATCACCACTGGAATAAACGGAGAAAAGCTTCCCTGCATCTTCATATTCTGTCCCTGATAGATAGTGTGTTTTGCTTGAACCACTCCTGCTTCACAGCTATTCAGTAAACAGCTAGCGTTCCTCTAGACTTTATACTTTTCTGTTCTTATTCATTTTGAATGGATGGTTAGATGCCAGTTGCTGTTCCACTGTTTTTACTGCATATATTTATTTATTTTTTTCTTTTTGTGCCTAGCACTTTCTGAAACCTTTGAAAACATTGTCAGCGTCTGCTTTGGAATTGGAAATGGGTTGTATGATGTTTTGGGGTTTCTTTGTGTGTCTATGGCTTTCTGTGGGTGTGCTGTGTGTATTACATGTATTTGTGTGTGCACTCTTTTTTTTGTGCTATCTCTCTCCAACAGAAAACTTTTCAGACTCCAAGACCTTTAGATCTTTTGGCTTTAGAGGACTCTAGATCACAGTGTATCAGAAAGAAAACAGGCTCTGAAATCCATTTTGTGACACATTCGATCTCTCAAAACTGCTGATGGAAAGGTCTGGTGTTTGTGGGGATCACATAAAAATAAAACTGTATGGATGATAGCGAATGTCCAGAGATTTCCACTTTTATACCTCTGAAAATTTTACGTATTAGCAATATTTAAAAAGAGATATAAAAAGTTGTAAACAGCAGTTGCCTCCAAGGCTTCTGTGCATATTTCAATATTTCTATATGGCTTGTGAGCATTAGGTTATTTTTGCTGACATTGCTATGGAAGATTTTTTTGACTGTTTATTTATAAATACAGACGGGTGACACATTAAAGGAAAAACCAACATAAAGTGTCTTAGTAAGGTGTTTTCCCACCACTAGCCACTGGAATAGTTTCAGTGCTTCTTTGTATAGATTCTACAAGTCTCTGGAGCTGTACTGAAGGGATTCTTCCCAAAGATATTCCCTCAGTTGGTGTTTTGATGATGGTGATGGAGAGGGCTGTCTAACACACCAATCCATAATATCTCATAGGTGTTCAGTTGAGTTGAGAGCTGGGGACTGCGATGGCCATAGCATTTGATTTACATGATATTCATACTCATCAAACA